GTGTGGCTCAACGTCTCAAAGAGCAACCTGTGATTGTTGCTCATAGTGAGAACACCTTTGATGGAAGTGGCATTAAGAGACTGCTATCCAACAAGTTTGAACTAGATAAGGTAATATTTTCAAGCATACAAACACTTGTGATCTCACTCTCTTTTCTTGTTGCATTGTTGAGTAATTTGAACTGCTTGGTTTTAACTTGTGGAATGAATCATTGATGGAGTTGCTAATTATAATTAATTCATCCTGAAGTGCAGTCACTGAATGCGGCTCTAGAAAACGTCCCAAAAGATCGAAATGGGAAAATATCAAAGGAATTTTTACAGGTGGTTCTTGATGCAGTGGCTCCAGCAGCTGGTTTGCCTCCTCTCGGCGCAGTGGATCAGGTATTCTGTTCATTATTCCCCATCTTTGATTTTAATGTAGAATTCAGAGTCAGAGAACTGCTTTAAACTGTCCTACCAGTAGTGAATATGATTATAATTCTTCACTCCTCAAATTTTCCAGATGGACAAGGTCTTCGCAGATTCATTTAAGATGATGAATGCAGATGATGGCAAGATGGTTAAAGAAGAAGAGTTCAAGAAAATATTGACTGAAGTCCTTGGGAGTATCATGCTGCAACTTGAGGGCAACCCCATCTCAGTTTCTTCAAATTCAGTTGTGCACGAGCCCCTTTCCTCTTCTTCATCACTCTTGCAACCACCTTCTTAGCTATATATGTGTTAGATTACTGGCATATAACTATGTATCAAACCAAAAAAACAAAAAGAAAGAAAGAAAAAAAAAAAGGTTTGGCAAATTATGTATCAGTAGCTTAAGTTGGTTGTTGTGCAGTTTCCTTGTGATGTGCTAATAAAGTATTTAAATCGTTTAATTTGTAGAAAACCTTCTCTTATGTAATCTACACAATTTCATTCTCTCTACATTTTATATGTTTTAATTTTTTATTTTAGCCTTGATTTTGTTGCAATTTTGATTAGTAGAATGTAGTTTTTAATGGATTTTACAACATTTTTATTCTTTGTTCAGAAGAAAGACTTCCATGCACAATAATAAAAGTTTTAGGACTTGAAGAAAAATTGTTGAAAAATTGAGGGACTATATTGAAAGAAGAGAAGTAGCAATCACCAGTTGGGGAACTTAATGAATGAATTCAAAGTTGTAGGATCACAGTGCTCATCATGTAGAATCTGGAAGACCAGATGCGCCATTTTACCATTGAACAAAATGCCAAAAATCTAAAAAACGCGACGCGGGTTTGGTGTCGGCACCGTCGTTTTAGGTGTCGATATTATGCACCAAGACTTTCCAACCTACTAGTTCGCTGAAATTGGAAGCAGAAGTGTCCACACCTACACTTTGGTATAAATACTCGAAGCAATTATTTAAAAGCTTCTCTATTTTGACACGGGTCTTAATTTTTTTAAGTAGAGTTTTAAACTTTATAAATTTTCATTCAAGATCAAATTTTAAAAGCATTTAGAAGAACAAAAAAGAGGTGGTAGTAAGAAACTTAACATTAAAAGAAAATTAAAACTTAAAATTTTATACCATTAGATTGATTTTATTTATTTTTAAATTTTACTTTATAATGTTAAATACTTTTATATTTATTATCAATTTTTTTCTTTTCTTTTCTTATTAACTAATTTAGTTATCTAACACTACAATTTAGACTAGTCAATTTAATATAAAATTTTATAATTTTTATACTTTCAAAATTTA